TATTATAATTTTTATATTTTTCATTTTTCTATAAAAAAAATTTCAAGGTTATAAATTCTTTCAAAAGTAAAACCTGCATAAGAATTATTTTTCTTTATTTAAAAATATAAAACAGTTATCTATTTTCTCTTTTTAATCTCTTATTAAAACACGAGCACATTACGTGCATAACGCGTGTGACAGTCGCATAGTTGAGCATAGATGCTGAAACGTTTAATTAAATGTCAAAGTGTGATGTTGCGCGTTTAATCAAACTTCGTTTCTCATAGGTAGTCGTTAATGCCTTGGTCCAAGCCATTCCATCTATCTTCAACGTGTTGCTGGTATGCCTTATTTTCTGGCTTATATTCGCTATCATGGGAGTACAGCTGTTTGCTGGCAAATATTACAAGGTGCGTACATTTTACATTATATAGATATAATAAATCAATGATCAATCTTCATGCAAGATTATCGGTACTCGTATAATTTAAACGATTCGTGCAACTTATCTGCGCGTGTGTTTTTAGAATTTTCTTTCGAAAAATTGCAAAAGTATCGTTAAAAAAAGCGGAAACTATTATACTTTGTACGTTATAAAATTAAATTTCGGATTATTATGTTGCAGTGTGTCGACATGAACAAGACGACACTCAATTACGAGATAATACCGGATCGAAACGCCTGCTTCGCTGAGAATTACACGTGGGAGAACTCGCCAATGAATTTCGATCACGTCGGGAAAGCATATCTGTGCCTATTCCAAGTGGCGACTTTCAAAGGGTGGATCCAAATCATGAATGACGCAATCGATTCTAGGGAGGCGAGTATAATCTCATAATAGCTTCTTTTTGTATCGATATTTATTATATAAAAATTCTAACGCATTCTTAATTTCTCGATGTGCAGGTTGGCAAGCAGCCGATTCGTGAAACAAACATTTACATGTACCTCTATTTCGTGTTTTTCATTATATTTGGATCGTTTTTTACCCTCAACCTGTTCATTGGTGTGATCATCGACAACTTTAACGAGCAAAAGAAAAAGGCTGGCGGCTCCCTCGAGATGTTCATGACGGAAGATCAAAAGAAATATTACAACGCCATGAAGAAAATGGGCAATAAGAAGCCTCTGAAAGCCATTCCTCGACCGAGGGTAAGTTATACAAATAGTATTCACACATACGTGCCATATTTATACACACATGTCACATAGATCAGTTATAAATATAAACGCGCAAATTCCACGCGATATTATTTGACAACTTGGAAATCGTTGCAACTTTGATATTTTTATATTAAAAAATTTTTGAAGAGATTTGACTTTAATTAATTTTCAGAATACGCTATTTTAAAATATTGTGTTATGGTTGCGGGTACATGAATGAATACGATATTGCGAAGATATTTTTTTGTTCACCCTTAATTATAGCGCGATTAAGGTTGTGTAATTATTTCTTTCGACTTTTACAGTGGCGACCACAGGCGATAGTGTTTGAAATAGTGACGGACAAAAAGTTCGATATGATAATCATGCTGTTCATCGGGCTGAACATGCTTACGATGACGTTGGACCATTATCAACAAAGCGAATCGTTCAGCAATGTTCTGGACTATCTCAACATGATATTCATTGTGATATTCAGCAGCGAGTGTCTCATGAAGATCTTCGCTCTGCGCTACCACTACTTCAAGGAGCCATGGAACCTCTTTGATTTTGTTGTTGTTATATTGTCAATATTAGGTAATGTAACGTAATGGTTGCTTCAGTCGTATGACCCGAGCGAAACGAAAGCGAAATGCGCGAAAAAAGGCAACCTGTTAGCTTCCCATCTTCTCGTTCCACGGAGATTATGATCTAGTTCATCTCTCTCTTTGCCTTTAGTACATATACTAGTAAGCGTAGTGTTCTATCTCACGTGCGAGATCTCGGCATGCCATGCTATTTCTCCGCTATGTTTTTTTTAATGCACGCAGTATCTCTCTTCTCGATCAAGCGGACAGGCCTAACGTTTCGCTCGTGTCTCAACGACTGGTGGATATCATTACGTTATGTAGCCTTACATTGATGTTAAATTTACCTCACCATGCCAAATACCTCCCATGACCCTATTCGTATCCTACTAAGTGTCGTTGATCCCCAGAACCGAATTGCCAAGCTCAGCGTTACTTCGTATCGCATCTCAAATGAATTACGATAAAAATAGTATGATTCTTTGAAATCGACGACTGTGTTCGTGGAATTAATCGTTATTGAATTAATTAAAGTTACACAATCTACGATTCTGCGATTTTTATGAATTTTACCGAACATCTCTTGAGCTATTAAAAGGTGTATGAAATATTTAATATCTGTGAGTGTTCCTCTAAAAGAATTGCCGCGACGTAACGCTTTGCACGAGCAATTCGGCATGTTAATCGATGTTGCAACGATCGTAAATCGAAGTATCGGGTAAGATCGGGTCTGTATAAAGTAGGTTTTAGAATTTAATTTATTCCTCTTATATAGTTTTTGATTATAGATCGATTGCGTCTCCATTTTCGTATGATATAGTATAGCAAAAATTTTTCATATATTTAAAATTATCTTTTATAAGGCACTGCATAATTTCGAATTTAAATTATGATATAACTTTCATATATTCAATTAGTTTTGACATACGCTTTCTATGATTTCATGACATTTCGAACGTGAATTTTAAAGGATATAGCATCCGAGTCCTCTTAGGATGCGCATGAAGTTTTGTGACAATTAAAAATTTTCGATTTTGTGATGAATGAACACCTAAAATGCACATATTTTTTTTAGAGCGAGAAACGTAATGTCTAATATGAATGTTTATCTCACGTGGATTTATGCATACTTTTTATCGGAAGGAAACATACGATTTTAATTTCTTCGTTTCCACATATAGTTGGCAAGAACGATTTTTATAGAGACATACACTCTTAAAGTTTTAACGCTTCTTTCAATCGCGCACCTTACTTTCCTAGCTACACGATGATTAGATAATCCAAACGCATGTAACCCCGAGCTCCTCTTGAACCGACAATGCACGAGAGTTTAATGAATTATACGAATGAAATCTATGATTTATGCATCTTTTTCCTTGACGTTAATGCAAGTAGAGCACAAGTCTCGAATTCGCTAAAGTGTGTATTCTTTCCCGACAGGTCTGGTGCTCAGCGACATTATTGAAAAATATTTCGTATCGCCGACTTTGCTTCGTGTAGTGAGAGTGGCAAAGGTCGGTCGTGTGCTTCGACTCGTGAAAGGTGCCAAGGGTATCCGAACTCTTCTCTTCGCCCTGGCGATGTCGTTGCCGGCCCTCTTTAACATTTGCCTACTGCTGTTTTTGGTGATGTTTATCTTCGCGATATTCGGAATGTCTTTCTTCATGCACGTCAAAGACAAAAGTGGACTCGACGACGTGTACAATTTCAAGACGTTTGGACAGTCCATGATACTGCTATTTCAGGTAAATTTGCAATAGATTTTAATTGATGTATTTTTTTTTGTAGAAATTTTATCAGCTATTTTCTATTAGAAGTTATATCTAATATATATATTGTTTGAATTTTTTGATGAAAGTTTACGAATGAAAATAAAGTTGCTCATCATAATAACGATAATATTGAAATTAAAGACAAGATATTATTTTATATATGTATAAATATATTTCCAAAGATTATATAAGAGAGGACTAATTTCTTTTTAAGTACTACTGAAAAATTGTGTTTTGGACACATTGTCAATTAGAATGATATAATTGATAGATGTCAACATCGGCCGGTTGGGACGGTGTTCTCGATGGTATAATAAACGAGGAGGACTGCCAGGAGCCGAACAACGAAATCGGCTACCCGGGCAACTGCGGCTCCTCGACGATCGGGATCGCTTATCTGCTCTCGTATCTCGTCATCAGCTTCCTGATCGTCATCAACATGTATATCGCCGTGATTCTCGAGAATTACTCGCAGGCTACCGAAGACGTGCAGGAGGGCCTGACGGACGACGACTATGACATGTACTACGAGATTTGGCAGCAGTTCGATCCGGACGGCACGCAATATATCAGATACGACCAGCTATCGGACTTTCTCGATGTATTGGAACCCCCGTTGCAGATACATAAGCCCAATAAATACAAGATCGTGTCGATGGATATCCCCATATGTAAGGGTGACCTTATGTTTTGTGTGGATATCCTCGACGCTCTCACCAAAGACTTTTTCGCACGGAAGGGTAATCCAATCGAAGAGACAGGCGACCTAGCCGAGGTCCAGGCGCGGCCCGATGAGGTGGGCTACGAGCCGGTCTCATCCACCCTGTGGCGGCAGCGCGAGGAGTATTGCGCCCGCCTTATACAGAACGCCTGGCGGAAGCACAAACAGCAGCGGCTTGGCGGGCCGAGCGAGGAGAGCGACGATCCGGATACGGATCTGTGCGTACGGCAGACCAAGGTGCTGGTCGAGAGCGACGGTTACGTCACGAAGAACGGTCATCGCGTTGTCATACACAGCCGATCGCCGAGTGTCACTTCGAGAACCGCGGACGTCTGATCGCCATCGTCGTCGTCGCCGCCGTCGCAGCTGCCGCAGCAGCCACCGCCGCCATCCGTGCGCCGAAAATCGCTCTATCGCAGCAGCCGCAGTCGCAGCAGCAGCAGCAGCAGCAGCAGCAGCAGCAGTTGCAGCAGCAGCAGTAGCAGCAACATCGTCGACGACGATGATCACGCATCATCAGCCGCTCGCACTGCTCGTGCGAAGTAGTGGCCGGGCGGGCACCTCGCGTGCGCTCTCCATCGACAGCCTTATAGTTGTATAAATAACAATTCCTCCAACGAGTTGCCTTTAATCGACTTTAAACGAGCCACGACCGTTGGGAGAGAGAGAGAGAGAGAGAGAAGAGAGACACGTCCCTAGTTAGACGAGCGTCCGTATGAAGTACACGAGGAGACTGCGACTGCGTCTACATCACCAGTTTGAAAGTGTGCTGCTGTCGCCGATCGCCGATTCATACGCAATTTACCGAAGATCGGCTTTATTTGACCGTGGCGTCCGGATCGCAAAAGATGTCGCGGGAGCGCGACACGACTTCAAGATACACGAGAAGAAGCAAGAAGAGAGACTACGAAGACACGAAGAGAAATATGAGGAGGGAAGGCCGAAACGTCGCAACGTCCTCTCCGAGTCTGACTTCCCCATATTAAGACTCGTGGAACGTGACATCGCGACGCGAAGAGAAAAAGAGAGAGAGAGAGAGAGAGAGAGAGAGAGAGAGGGAGACTATCTCGTTTTTTCTCGTGAGCCTCGCCTCTGTTCCTCGTCGTTCGATTAAAGAGTATCCGCGCGGACCCGCGTTAGTCGCGCGCGACGACGGCCGCGCATCGAGGCGACGCGCGACCTCTTGTCTACACCATCTTGTACACATTAGCTCAATCTCGCGAATCTCTATATCCGCCGTTTGGATTTTTTACACCGTTTTACAGCAGTAACCCGCCTACTCGCCCCCGCGCGACGCCGCGACGCCTCAGGCGCCGCCGTCGAGCCCCGTTGCGGCGACATTCGCTTTAATGAACGATATTGTATAATCGTAGTTATGGCAGGGAGGAACGAAGGGAAAGTAGACGCGATAGAATGATGATGACGACGACGATGACGATGATGATGATAATGATGATGATGATGATGATGATGATGACGCTAACGATGATGTCGATGATACCGACACGTACGATGATCAATTTCGATTAACGACGATTAGAGGACGAGCGAAAGAAAATTTCGCAGGCGAAAGAGGACTCATTCGTGAAATGAAATGTGCGCGTTAGTAGTGTTATACATTCGCTCGGCTTGCAATCTCTCGCGGAAAACGGTGCGCGAAAACGCTTGATCGCGCCGCTTGATTCCACAAACCCCCTCTCCCGCCCCTTTTTCTCACGGACCTCACGCGACCCCGTCCGTCGGTCCCGAAGGGGAGCCGCGCGTGTCACAAGTAGTGTCACACCGTCGATTTACGCGAATCAATTAATTAACTCGCGGACTGCAAATGTAATACTCTCCCTCCCCGATGCTCACATGTGGATTTCAAAGATATTTCCTTTCCCCTCTCACCCTCCCCCCCTCCTTTTCTCCTCCGCGAAGCATCCCCATGTTTCGGGGTCAATGTCGACGACGTGTTCGCGTCTCTTTTTGGCCGCGTTTTGGCTTTTTTCCGATCGGATTTATCGTGCGCGAAACCTTTTGCGTCCCGATCAAGGAAATCCGCTGAAATTGTCGTTCCTTTTTCCTCTTTTCGGATTCTTCTCACGGACTTATACATATATATATATATATACATATATACCTATTTCTCTTTATTCCCATTTGCCTGTCTGTGCCTCCGCTCTTTCGCCGCCCTTCCCTTTTGACACTTTCGCGTCGCGATCTTCTGTCACACAATTAAATGCGTTGAAGCAATCGCGTCGAAGAAAAGTGCGTATTGGCTTCTTAACTCATCATCTCTCAACTAGATATTTACACATTTGCAAAACTTACACGCAGTCTTACACGACGTAGTAAACGCGCTTCGGAATAAATAAATTAATACATTCTAGTGTATCGTTATTCGAATAACCGCAATCGATCGCCGTGCGCGTGCGCGCGCGCGTGCGCGCGCGTAAACCCGTCTCGCGTCGCACAACCCGCAAACGCTGAAAAGATATTTTAAATAGGGTTGTTGTAATTATAATTATAATAATTATTATTGTAATTATTATATCTCGGTGGTGCACACAACACGGAGCACGCGCGAAATTTGTTCGTCCGATTCGAACTCTCTCTCTGACGTGATTAATTACAAAGAGATACTCTTATGTAAAATATAGTTTTGCCGCTCCGAAATATATACTGCTCTTTCAGTAGCGAGAGTGTTTCACTTTTCAAGTCGCGTCACATCTTCAAAAGCTTGAATAAGAAAGCACGGAGAAAATATTAAGAGAAAAGAAGAAGAAGAAGAAGTAGAAGACCTCTGTATAGAAAGAGCCTTTTATATTATACACGAAACGAATTGGATCGTACAAGTATCTCTCGCTAATCAGATGATAATGAAAATCCTACGTTGTGCCTTTTGAATAACAGCAATCTTAAGCAAGCTAAAGAAAAGAAAAAGAAAAAAAAAACTTGGGTTTCCCGATATATCGCACCGTCAAATAATCGTTAATCGTCGGATCACGGTCGAGGCGTCTCGCGCGCACACCGTTGAAGCTGCTGCTTTTGTGTTATCTGTATCACGAAAGCGAACCATATCCTCTCTTCGCTCTGTTTCAACAGCACCCGAGTTATCTTTAGTAACGCAGTCGGTGTTCCGCGGCCGACTGATTAATAAATGCGAAGAATTTAGACGGGTTTACGCACAGGGACTTCGCGCGGAATCGCGTACAGATCTTTGCGTCGATCTTTACCGTCGCCGTATCTGTCAAAATTGCGCGCGTCGACCTCGATCGACGTTGGACCACGATGGAAAGAGAGAAAGGCATGTACATATGTTATTCTCGGGGTGGTCCATTTATTTAAATTAAATGGGACAGCTCCCTTTGAAACATCTATCCCAATTACAAAAATCGGTACGATTCCTCTCCGTTGCGTCTCACGCATTTCGGGGTAGATTCTCAATTCGTTAACGTGGCCATCATGCACACACACATATACACACGTATTACAAACACACACTTTGTACTTTTTCCATCGTGGTCGCATTACCGCAGTTGTCGTCGCGATTCCGTCACGAAGTATAAGTACCAATCTCATTTCGCCTCCGCGCAACAATCTACACACAGATCACCAGAGCAACTTTGAACGTGTGTTTAAACAATTTACACGAGGAGTATCAGAGTTTATCACAATATAACGCGTGACGACGATGACGACGCCGATGACTTTGCAACGGTCCTTAAGAATATATATACAGATATAGACAGATGCGTGTTATACGCGTGTGTGCAGGATGAGACAAACAGAGCGCCCGCGTCTGTTTCCTTTCCTCTTGACATTTTATTAGTCGTTCGAATAAAAAAACTCTGCTGTTCCAAAAACATTTATCTTCGCGAAACGTTGCATTTTTCTTCGAACGCTCACTATCCTTTCCCCTAAAATGTCGATCGGAGAACAGCTCGAAGAGCGCGTCTCGTCTCGCACGCACACACGATTCGTCGTCAAATTAACGAAGAGCGTTATCGCGGTCACGCGGCGGTGAGCTTAAGTAGGCGGCCAGATACAACAGAAACAAGGAGAGAGAGAGAGAGAGAGAGAGAAAGAGAGAGAAAGAGAGAGAGAGAGAAATAATGCATGTGTGCGTGTGTGTTAATGCGGATTGTGCGATCGTTATTTTTCTACGTCTACATCCGCGTAGGGTCGGTAGGGCGGAGGAAAGGGACGTGCGGGGAGACAGACGCGCGCGGGTCATGAGGGACAACGACGTGGATGCGGCGGGTCGTTGTTGTCAGCACTTTAGACAGGAAGTCGACGTGTGGGTGGGGGTGATGAGCATCGAAATTCGGGCAGAGAGGGAGAACGCGTTCTCGCTGGTCGAGAACGTGTGAGAGCGTCTCTCGTAAAGACCAAGGACCATGACGGACGTAACAGCGAGAACAAAGGTTGTTGTTCAGCATAGATGTTGCTTATAGGAATGTAACAATCCTAATGCAATTGAATATAATTGGTGGATTTACGAGCACTCGGGGATAGATAGAGGATTTATTAAGTATCATCGTTATATAGGGCTAAATCTCTCGCGCCGCGTCTAATATAATTGAGCTACGGTAAAAATATGTATGAGAATATATATGACAGAGTATGAAATTTATATTACGTGCATTTTTGATTTATAAAATTAAATATTTAATTTTTTCTAAATTATAAATGCGCGTGATAATTGTATAAAATCTTGACAAATTTTTTATATTTCTATCCATATTCTCTTACTTGCGTTCTTTCACTTTCTGAACGCAGCCTATGATGACAATGACGATACTAATAATGACGCAGATGATAACGTTCACGATTGGAACATCGAAAGGCAGTGATGTCGTTGTAGATGAATAATGATATAAAACATTTCGAAAATAGCGTGACAAATAAATATTCATTACTTTACCAAAAACACATTTAAATTACAAACCATGAATAAGATCTGTCATGGGGAAATTATTCTACAAATAATTCACACGTTATCGGCGAATTTTTGCTGTGCGACAAAGCTTTGTCTGATATTAATCGTGTGTTTGATCGTTTCTACATTTATTTGCAATGCACGAATTTCGAAAATCGCGAATTACTCGACATTTTTACATTGGCCACTTAAAAATTCTAAATCTAAGGTCGCTTAAATATATACTGCTAAGATTAAATATATTGTGTGAAAAGTATATTCTAAAGGATATATATATATATATATATTGAAAGAAATTTATCTCTATATACGAAAGTAAAACGTAACGCAAACGATAAGAAGAACATACATGTTCCTAATTTTAAACTAAAAATATATTTTGCGTTTCGCTACGTCGCTTTGTCAGACACACTGGGCTGAAAGTATTTTTTACATCGCACAATCGTAAAAATAATTCTTCGCGACGGCGATATGTATAATCAGGAACATTAATATGCCGTCCGCATTTGCAAAGAGACTCTATGACTTTTCTTTTTCTCACGATTCACCGATTCTCTTCGTAATAAAGTAGTCGAACACCAGTATTAACCATGTAAAGCGAAAAGAGATACGTTTCTTAAATATTAAATAATAGAGAAATCTAATCAGGCTGGCACGCACTAACGCTTCCGATTGCAAATGCAGCTGCCTTGCCTGCATCTCGTTCGTTCGAGAACGCTCATTCTCCGTTGCATTTCGCGCATATATTATCGGTCTTCTCTCCCTCCCTCCTCGGCGTTTTTCCGAACCGATCGATCACGTCTCGCGCCATCGACGTTGTCCCTCGGAATCGCGGCGTCTTGAAAGCTCGACGGACGACGACGACGACGACAAATCGAAGACGGAAACGACCTTGCACAGCATAATCGTCGATCGTTGGAAAATATATCGAAAAAGTATGTGTCAGAAGAAATATATCCGAAAAGGTTCGTCCGGCTCACTCTGTCCCGTACCTCCGAGACCCCCTCCCCGCCCCGTCATCGGTTTGGCCTCCTCTCCCGTGTTGTATAATACGTGCAAATAATTCGATATAATATAATCAAATCGCTTGTACTCACAATATAATAAATATTTTCGACATTACGTTCGCAAGTCGACTATGTAGGCAACCGTGTATATAAATCGATACGGAAATGATAAATGGGTGACGCGAAACTTCATGGCCTGTCGCGTACAAATATTTTTACATCGAACCGACAAAATATTGGTTAATGTATAAATCAACGTTACGTAATAACGTAAATTTAATTCTCCTCTCGTAGAGACTGTCTCTAGAGAAATCTCGATTGTCTCTTTGTAGAGACGTAAAGAGAAACAGGAAAAGGGCAGATGATCGGTTAAATGTCACTTAACTTTATCGAATGTTTATAGGACATAAGCGCATCCGCCGATGAAACGTTTAACGTAAGTCCCTGTAATGTCTCGCGAACCTTATTCCGAGCACTTAATTGGCCAGGGCACTTGTGTAACGTGCTCGTGTTCCGATGTAGATTTGTATGCACAGGACAGGCTTTTAAACGAGCGACGGACAGTCCAACGAATGTGGCCGCAATCTTCGGAAACGCCTCCTCGACGATTTGCATCGTCGTTCTTCCCCGGTTGGAGGCGGGCGACGAAGAGACGTGTGGCTAAAGGCGAACTTGTCTGGTTTTCGCTTTTCACGATCGTCTCGAATGAGTCATGCAAAGTGAAGAAAAAAACACGAATCACGCGAGCTACGATGAAGGGAGTAGAGGCAGTCTCTATTTCTGTGCTTCGGATAGTCTGCGATAGATTGGCGTAAACGATGATTCAATGAAATGTCAAACAACTTGTTGGGTAACATCCCGAATAACGTTTAGAATATTGAAAAGTTTCGTTTCACATGAGACTTGAATTCGTATGATTATCGTAACTTGTAATTAGCTTGCGATATAAAATAATAAGATTTTTAAATCAAAAAGATCGTGGATTTTATTATATATATCTTTGGAATCGCATAGGAGAGCGTACTGAACAATTTGTTGCTGATGATACATCTATATAAAAAAATCGGTTACGCAACGGATTCACTTTGAAAGACTTGCCCGAGATAATCTTGAAATGCGGACCATCTGCTTTAAAAGTAGGCTGAAGTAGTGTCTCGGCAAATGCGTCGATTCGTCGAAGGATGGAATGTTACAACGCGCGCCCGCGCGTTTAATCACGACTTCCCCAATAATTCGATCGCAACGTGTTCTCATCGACGTTGAGATTAACATTCCGTCCGTGACATCGAATCGAAGAGGACTGCGAGGGGACCATATCTTACGTAAGATGAGAAAATGTCCGTCGAAAAAGAGATTGCGTCAATATACGCGAATGCTGTGTCGAAGAGCGTGCAAATATTTTTCAGAATTTTTAAAAATGTCTCGCGCTTCAATAAATAATTAAATTACATAATTATATACATTATATTACATATATCCACATTACGAAATGGCGATTTAGTAATCATCTTCTTCGTTTTATTGTCACTAACAAGAGAGGAAGAAAGATAAAAAAAAAGATGTTTTTTTTTTTTTAATTTCCACTATATCTTAGTTAAGTCCTTTTTTTGCTTAAAAAGGCAGTCCTTTCGCCGTCCTCCCGCATTTCTATCTCCGAAATGTATATTACACGAGAGTTGCTTGAGGAGCGAGGGGGAGGGTTGCTTGAGAATTGTTTGGTGATATCGCGGAAGGGAAGTTTCACGTGAGAAAAAAATTCTGTTTGATCGATACATTGTAATGACGAGGACGACAATAACAACGACGACGACGGCGACGACGACGATGCGACGACGTTGACGACGACAACGAAGAAGATAATGTCGCTAGGGGGAGGGGGATGAAACTTTTACGCGACGACGGCTCTGTAAGATATAACCAAAAAAAAAAAAAAAAATAGGGCTTTCCTTCGTTAAGCGAGGTAAGACGAGATTTAACGTACTTTCTCCGAGGACGATACTGCCGTTACGTATTGTATAAAAGAAAACTAAGTTAACTAATCGTAAATGCACGAAAAATTTTCTTAAACGGATAGCAACAAAAAGGGCTTTGTAGTGTCTCGATACTCTCGAATCATTAATCCTACGTCGTGAGATAATAAATAATGATATTAATGAAATAAAAAAAAATAAATAAATAATTATGAAACAAAAATCCTAGAGCTGGGCTAAAGCATTGTAAAGTGTCAAGCTACGGAGCCTGTCGGCCAGTATAAATGAACAAGCAACTGCCATGGGTCATCAAGCTAGGTAGAAACGTGCTAAGAATCCAATTTTAACAAGCTAGCTGTCGAAACATTAAAAAAAAAAAAAAAAAACGCGCGAAGGATCGTCCATTAAAAAAAAAAAATCTGCGTACGTATGTATGTGTGTGTATGTGTGTACGTGCTCGCACGTGTTCGTGCGGACACGCGGCGGACCGGATGACGCGCGCGTGTCCACGTGTACGCACACGTGGACAGGCGTGCACGCGCGCGCGCAAGACGAGACACGCGAGGAAAATGCGAGAACACAGAGAAGCTCCTCCGTTAAGAATATGACATTCATTACTACTTAACAGAATAAAAATAACAAGAGAAAATATGGGTTATTTGCACAATATTATAAATAATTACTATATTTACTACGATTATTAAATTAAAGAGCAAATAATAAGAGGATAAAAAAAAACTGTTGTTAAATAATTAATACACAAAAAGAGAGGGGGATGAGCGATATAAAGAGAGTAATAAATAATAAAACGATTTAAGCTAACGATCGATATTGGGTCAAAATGGAAAGCGACGAAGATGATGGAGAGAAGATACGATGAATAGAATAGAAAGAAGAGGGATAAGAAGAGAGGAGGAAAAAAAAAGGAGGAGGATACGATTCGTTTGTTATCGATTAGTTAACGATCCTTACACATTATATTATTGTAATTATATAAAGTAAACGATTATTATCATAATAGTTACAATTAACAAGTTGTTACCGCTTTGTTATACATAATATAATTAATAATAAGATTAAAAAAAAGAAAAAAGTAAGAGCGAATGCATCGTTGATTCGTCCTTTACTTATGTAGATACTAAAATACGATCGACTCTATTGTTTTCAATGTCTTCACCGTATCTCTTCGTTTGCTACCCGATTTCATTTCGTTGTCGAAGATTCGGTATTGTCGGCTTACCTCGCCCGGCCACAATATACACACGTTTTACAGAGATATTTTCAATAAACGAAAAAGCTTAACACTCACACAGCAGTTGTACTCTCTTGTTCACTCTATTTTATCCCTAAGAGATTTCTTTCATTATCGATTTGAGTGAATGTGACAATGACAATATTTGTCTGTGCTATAAATATATCTTATCATCTAAAGATCTTGTTGATTGTTTCAGATATATTTTTAATCTCTAAAGATAGAAAAACAAGATATTTGTTTGATGAAATGTACATAGACTTGTATAATTTAGCGTATGATATTGTCAACGTGTGATCTTTTATCAATCTTTTAAGATACTCATTTTTACTTTATCAAATTACAAAAAATGTTATTATTATAAATTAGTATTATAGTAATTTAGTAATTATTATAAATTATAAATAATATAATAATTATAAACGTGCTGAATATGGGCAATATAAAGAAGTATACATTTTAAACTTAATTTTCCCAAGATATATTATTTGCAATTTACATTTTCGTGTAACACATTTAAATATTGTCACCCACGTAAAATCCAACTCGATCAGATAAAAATAATAATAGATTTCGAGCGCAGAAGCTGCGTTTAAAAGAAAAAAGAATAAAGATTATAGACAGAATTTTCGTTTTTAAAAAAGCAAAAGAGAAAGAGATTCCGCTCTTATTTCGTCTGCCTGTTTACCTGGATCTCACCTGGGGTTCGATCTATTCTTGCTACGGTGTCTAAACGATGGTGGGGATGCGCTATGTGACACGTGACGTGACGCTATCAGATTAACACAGTCCACGCAGACCACGCAGTGCATTAGTCATGAAAAGCGCGTGGTAGCGCGTGGGTGCTCGCGCAAAGATTTCACGCGAAGATCGCGCGAGCATGGGTGGGGTTCAGAGAACGAATCGCTGCCTCGCTTCTTTCCTCGCGTCTCGTAAGTCCGATACCAGCAAGAGCAGCAGTCGTCTAGACCGTCGTGCCTTTTACGCACGACGGCCTCGCGTACACTACGTTCGACAAACAATGGTCGTTTTGCCTCGTGCCACTCGTGCCGAGCGTCGAATATATACCTCCGTGACGGACCTGTGCAAGAAGGATGGCTGTTTCGAGGTCACTCGGGCCTCCTTCTCGCTGAGAGAGCTGGCGAATCAGTGAAACTGGAGCAGCGAGAGGAGACGTCGCGCGGCGGACCTGGACGAGTTATTACGCGCGACAATCGAGCTGTCAAGACTGTCCGCGAGAAAGGCGAGAGAGAGAGAGAGAGAGAGAGAGAGAGAGAGAGAGAGAGGGACGAGAACGCGAGGAGCTGCTGTGCGATTGCGTCGCTATCGTGTTTATCTGCAAGCTGGGCGATGTATACTGACCTCACTTTTATTGTCCTGGCTGCACTCGCAGCTGCAACGTCGCCGAATTTTCAATGATTGTATATCTGATATCTGTGGTGACTCATTATTCACGACTGGACCGGATAGAGGAAAGAAATCGCATTTCGACATCGGAGGTTAGTGCAGAGGTATGGTAGCGTATTTATAATCGAGATGAGCGTAGCGAGTTTTATCAAGGGGTTTTGACGTTTTCTAAGAATGTCGTCGAGTGAGTATATTTATGAACGGACATTCAACTGAAAAGAATGTTTGATATAATGAGAATGTATGAGAAACGGCAGTATATATTGAGAGAAAGAAAACATGGTTATAAATATTTAATGAATACCTGTTCTTTGAATATATGAGAGAATATTTAATATGTAATTTCATATACATTTTTTACTTCTATATCCTTTTTGTAAAATAGTTTGTAACCTTTTTCTTTATTCATTTAATAAA